GGAAATAGGGTTCTCCCTACCAGGATGTGGAGTTTTTGATAATAAGTTAAAATGGAGCATTCTATGCCGTTCTTGGGGCCAAAATTACTATCAGGCAGGTCACAGTTAAAGACTGTGGCCACATGTGATCCCTAGTCAATCAGAATTTTATGGTTGCCAGAAGATCTGCTCCCCAGGGTAAAGGGGTGCATAGCCATGGCATGTGGGCTCTACGCCCCTGTTCCCTTGTTTAAAAAAATTTCTGCATCTGTTATGGAAACAACTTATTATGTTAAAGTGCTGCAATGGGTTGCTTCATGTTTGATATAATGCATGTATACATCACATGTAAAACACACAAAATTCAATCACACTGCTTGATGACTATGACACTTTAATCTACATTGAGCTGTTTTTTTTGTAATTTCTGATTTGTCAACTGTCTCTTCCTCAGTTTATTTTGCCGACTGACTCCACCATTATGTCTCAACTTCCTGGGTCTGATACATTTAGACAGCCATATTACAGGAGATGAAAATATGCTGGAGACTTCTTTTACTGCTGTGAGTACTACCTTTATCTAGTGACATGTAATATATATACATGTACTTTGTCAGTGCCTGTGATTAAATTCATATATTGGTAGAGGCTCATTTTGAATATATGCCCACCATATGATTGCATCCAGAAAGCTATCCTCTGATGGAATTTGTCAAGAGTGTGCTTTATTTGAGAGAGCTAATTTACTGAAGAATATTTTAATTTCCAAACTACAGTTTGTTGATAATGTGTATGACACAAGTTTGTTACAGCTATTGTATCAAGCTGCATGTTTTCAGGAAAGAGTTAATTCTATATATCCAAGTAAAATGCAAATTGAACTACAAATACATTCTTACTGTTATACATTTTCCCTGAATTGTAAAATTTGTGAATAATTATTTGGGCCAAATTAAACTGATTTACAGTAAATTAAAGGCACTCAAAGTGGGTAACGTGATTTACCATAGATTAAAGGCACTCAAAGAGGGTGACATGATTTACAGTAGATTAAAGGCAATCAAAGTGGGTAACATGATTTACAGTAGATTAAAGGCACTCAAAGTGGGTATGTAATTTACAGTAGATTGAAAGGCACTCAAAGTGGGTAACATGATTTACCATAGATTAAAGGCAGTCAAAGAGGGTGGCATGTTTTACAATAGTTTCTTTATTCTAACATTTGAACGCGTGTTAAATTAAATATTGTTTTTACCATTTCCTTGATTTCATTGTAGATTATGGGTCGTCATATGGATGTACTTCCTTTCATGGCTGATGGTTTCTATATTTATTATCCAATCACTGTGGTAGTCCTGTGTATTGCTACCTACTTTAGTCTAGGTAGTCGGTGTTTAGGATTTCTGGGATTCCAGCAGTTCATTGGAGAGGATGAGATGACACAAGATTACACTGATGAAGGAAGGGAAATAGTCAAAAGAGGTTAGTGTACATGTATTTTACTGGTAGTGTATAGTGGTTGTTTCTCTGGGTTCATGGTTGACTGGTCCCAATCCTATCTGGAATTGAAATGACAGACTGTTAATGGTGGCCATTTTTGTGCTAAAAAATCATCAAATATCAAGCATTTCTTCCATTTATGGATGTATTTGGTTCGAACTTATAACATACATTAGAAATTACGGGTTCCTGATGCACGTCATTTTATTTTTCAGATTGGATTCAAAACGGCTGACTGGTGGCCATTTTGTTTTAATGTTTGGGCTTCTAAAGCCATATCTCTGACATGCTTTGACTGATTATGTTCAAATTTTATCTGATGATCAGATACAAATGTCAATCATTTTAATGTTAAACAATCATCATAATCATTTCCTGACATGGTTATATTCCAGTTATATTACTATAAACAAAACTTTATATCTTAAATTCGATAACTAACGGGGACTGTGCCATGCATGGCTTGTTTTCCATGGTTTTTTGTTCTTGATCAGAATTTTAAATTGTCAAAGGTGCAGAAAGTTTTGACTTGTCAAATCTAGAAATAACTTTTATATATATAAATGTGTTCTACATGTATACACTTGACAAATCATTCAACTGTTAACGCTTTATAGAAAAAAGACGGAGGCAAAGGGCAGAAGATGGTGAGACAAGAAGACGTGAATTTTTCAACAGATATGGTCCAAATAATGGTCATGGTTACTCATCTGGTGACTATTCTTCGAGTGAAAATGGTCGATATAGTCATAACCGAGAAAGTGATAATGGTACTGTCAAAGGAACTACAAAATCTTACAATGATACCAGAGGTTAGTTATTTGAAACTTCTTTTAGACTATATTCTTTTCGTTACCAAAAAAATTATGCTACAATGCTATATTGCAATATGTGGAAATATCAATATTTTTATTTAGTTTGACTGTAAAGTAATTTACAATGTGTGATTTCTATTTAAAAACCAAATTAAGGCGTTTTTATGGTCATGACAATTTGCTTCACAATCAGATAAAAAATGGCAGACAAGCAGCCCTTTTGTTTTTTGAAAATATGGTATCTTGGACATGCTTTGTCAGTTGTTATTCAAATTTGGTACATACATTCTACATGTTATAATACATGTCTATGGCAATTTGTTTCACAATTGGATCAAAGATGGTCGACTGGCAGCCATTTCATTTTTGGCCATACTACTATCTATGATACCCATGTACAGTCTCATATTTTTGTCACATTCATCATACATAATACATGGCTATGTTTTTTTTCTAAAGGCTTATTAAATATTTATAGTCAAAAAATTAAAATAATAACAAAAATTAATAAATCTGAAAAAAAAATGTACATGGATCTTTTAGTATAACATGAGTGAGTCTAGTTGCCATTGAATTCATGAATGGTAAGATTTAGATTTTTCTGAGATGTGTATTAGCATGTACTATAGATTATTATGACTATATGTATTTGTGTAAAATATTATCAAAGATACAATGTATGCTAGTCACTTGGTACACATTCATGTTTGACTTGTGCTTTGATTTCATTAAATTGTAAAGTGTCTTAATTTCCCACATGAAAACTTTGTTAGAAATTGGGGTAACATCATAACAGTTTAGCTGGCACACACTTAATATAATACTGGAGTTTGGATACAAAAATTGCATAAATATTAGAAATAGCAAATAGCAATGTTTGTGACCATATATCAAATCACCTGGTAACATGACCAGCGATTTGTATATCCAATTTGATTGCATATACCGTACTCAACCGCGTTAGCGCCCATACCCAGGCATGCGCCCACCCCCCACTTTTGCGCAATTTTCATATTTGGGGTCACATTCGGCAAAGCACCCACCCCTTTAAAATGCAACTAATTGGAAACTTGGTCTTGCGTAATGAATCTTGGTAAATCGTTTTTATATGATACAGCGTGGATATTGACCGCTGTGAATATGTTGTGACCACGGTAAGTGTGCATAAACTACGCTTCGACAATGACCTGTTAATACAAGTAAAACGGCTAGTTACTAGTTTTTTGGAAAAACCATGTCGTTTATTCCCTGAAATCAATTCCAACAGATCGTACTTAGACATCGATAATTCACTTCCGCATTGCGTTACCGGAAAGTCTTCGCGAATTTCCAAAGAATTGCGTCGTTACAACACAGCATTCTGATTGGTTAATAACCACCTTGACCCATTAGGTCAAAGGACACTGCTGTAGATCAAATCTGCAAATGCATCATGGCGGAAAGTGATTTTCATTGAAAGTTTGCGTACGATCCAACACCTTCGTCAGTGGAGATAATGATGCGAATTTTGACTTCAACTCTGTTCCAACAGACTCTAATGCTTTTAATTTCGTAAATTCTGGGGGTACGTAAATAATATTGTAATAAAATGTGCATATTTTTTGTCATCATTTCTGTTTCTTCATTGTGAAAATCAATGACGTCGCAACTAATTAGCTCCGCTGTCGACTTTGTCGAGCGAAGCTTATCATATGAGTGATTGTCCGTCGTCGTCGTCCGTGTCAATGTTTTACTTTTTCAACTTCTTCTTGAAAACTACAAGCCTGAATGCTTTGATACTTGGTGTATATGTACCTTGGGTAGACCTCTCTCAGATTTGTTCATTTCATGATGATATCTTCAATTCTCTAATTTTTGTCATTTTTGATAAAAAGTGATATTTTCGACTTCTTGTTAAAAACCGTCCAATTGTCCAATTGCTTTTATATTACATATATAGGTACTACATGTGGACCTCTCTCAGATTTGTTCATTTTGTAATGATATCTTTAATTCTCTAATTTTAAAGAATATTTTTGTAATTTTTGGTAAAAAGTAATATTTTTGACTTCTTGTTAAAAACCGCAAGTCCAATTGCTTTTATATTACATATATAGGTACTACATGTAGACCTCTATCAGATTTGTTCATTTTGTGATGATATCGTTAATTCTCTAATTTTGGTGAATATTTTTGTCATTTTTGGTAAAAAGTGATATTTTCAACTTCTTGTTGAAAACCGCAAGTTTGATTGCTTTTATAATACATATATAGGTATTACATGTGGACTTCTTTCAGATTTGTCCCATTGCTTTTTATATATATATATTGTTCATTTTCTAATGATATCTTCAGTTCTTTAATTGTAATGTGCATTGCTAACAGTGGAGCTATCTCAGCCGAGAGGCTGCTTGTTTTGTAATTTGATTTTCCTTCAAAGACGTAATCTGTCACATGATGAATCAAAATTTTCATTTGCCTTCTTTTTCAAGGGGGGTGCTCGGGTAAGCGCCCACCCCTAAAAATTCATGATTTTCCGAGTTGAGGCCCCTGGGTGCTAACGTGGTCGAGTACGGTATTATGCATGTAGTAATACATGTCCATATTCACTACGTTCAATTACCCACCATAGACTCCGGTCAGTCAAAATGACTATTTTGAACTGTAGGCATTAATCAGCGATTCTGCCGGTGACGGAGAGATAGAATCCAGGTCAGGGGAAGCCCCATGACCTCAAGATTCTTTTACCCCTTACGTCACGAACCCACGTGACCGAGGCCACCTGGCAGCGCCACAGGTAGCCGTCCTTCACTCTTAATTTCTCTCCGCCTCAAGTGGAGATGAAATCTAGCGAGCTCTGCTGGATCGCCTGCCTTTTTTTCCTGTCCGGATTTATGGCTTGGGTTGTTGCCGCTACTTGGCATCCGACATTGTAGCTGGTAGGATAAGTTTTTCTTGTCATTTTTACCCTCGTGTCGTTTTCCCCTTTGTGTGTAGTATTTTTCACAGCAAAGAAATCAAAATCCGGCGCCACTACGTAGTCACATGTTGATTTCATGGCGGTACCTTTTACAACTGTAATTTGTCTCCCTCATGCATGTCGTCTTTTATTTTTAATGTATTTAGCAATATATCGATGTAATGACAGCTCCAAGGCTCGCTGCCTTTTTCTTCCGGTCTCCTCGTCTTTCGAGCCGACCGTACAGTGGTTTATTCAGAATCTACCAGCATAGAACCCGGGGTTTTTTGCGTGAAAGCGTGTTTTTTTCACTGGAGTTCTGAGGCCTGAGATTTTCTTTCAGTGCCATCAAAATCGCTGACACTGACCGCGTCACAGCAAGGTCGCGCGTCCAGTAAACAAATCGGTTAAAGTGAGTTGCGTGTTTTCCATGAGTGGAAAGTCCTCACGCTCGGCTACCGGTACTTCATGTACCGGGACGTCGAGTAAGAGGCCCGACGGCGGAGGTACCAATATTTTCTCGGTCTCCCCCGCTGATCGGAGGGCATCCTCACAGTCTGTTTTTTCAGGCGGTGTTTTTTACCCGATTTTACCGGCTGCAGCGAGGCTGTGCCCCTGGAGGCTTTCCTCCTATGGGGCCCGTTACGGGTCTCTTCGTGGACCCTTCCTCGCACAGCACCGAGTTTGCCTCCGAGTTGAGGGCTTTGGTCGAAGGACTGTCGGGGCAATTGCGTCCCTGGCAGGCCGGGTAGATCAGACGCAGTCGGAGCGAGCTGTCTCCACTGTGTCCCCTCGGTGGGCAAGCAGGAAGACACGAAAGCACGTTTGCATTCAAACACGTCTCTTCCGGGGAACCCCCGTTCCCAGTCACGGCTCTCCCACTATTTTGGGGGGTGGCCGAGG